TAGTGCAGTGGGGAAGAGGACTTTCTGTAGTGCAGTGGGGCAGTGTGGGTCTTTTCCAGATGAGATAATCGGCTGGTTGTGTGTCCAAGTGGAACAGTAATATTTATTATTATTATCATGTATTATAGTATACATTAAAATTTTTTGGTATATTGTAGAGCTACATGTAGAATTCATAAAAATAAAACTTACATGAAGTGGCATAAGTAAATACCTTTCTGATCTTTGTGCCTTCTTAAACAGGCCACAGAAGTCAATAGCCATAAGAAAAACTGATTCCTTCCACTACACTATGACTCCAATTTATATTCACCAGAACACGCTTTTAAGAGAAAGAAAGCACCGAGTGGGAGAAGATGGCTGTGAGACAGAGGACCCGGGTCCACACTTGTAAAGAACTCTCCTGAGGGCAGCAAGATGGTGCCAAGGTAAAAGCATTTGCCACGAGAGCCTGATGACCCAAGTTCCTTCCCAGAACCCTCGGTGGAAGGAGAGAACTGATTTCCAAAAGTTGTCCTCTGACCTCTACACCTGTGTTATGTACGGCATGAGCCTTTTACATCAGTTCCGGGGGTCAAACTCAGGTCATCACAGTTTCAAAGACAGCACGTTACTGACTGAGCCATCTCCCTACCCCATATGTGAAACCTTTCACAGCCATCCGGATCACCCAGGCTGTGTGTGCCCTGTGCTAGCTGAATTCCTGACTAGGCTGCGCTTCGTCACCCTGTGTCTCTTGGAAAGGCCGGTCCTTGTGGTTTTCTTACCTTCTGTTTGGTCATGTCTAAGAGGCCCACGGAGTATCTGTCACAGTTGAGGAAAGCTCGGACCGTGTACAGGGCTTTGTGGAACTGTCTCTCTATGTCCGTGAGCTCTTCGAAGACCTTGCTCCCAGACCACAGCAATATCTGAAGATATTTGAAACACTAATCAGAGTTTTTGAAGCACAAAGTAGATGTTTCTTAGATAGAAAATAACAGTTCTGCGAAGTTTTCTCGTTTATTCCATTTAACTCTCACAATAACCTAAAGAAACAGGCTCATTTGCCCCATTTTACAGGTGGAAAGACTGAGGCATCGGGTCCAACTCTTTCCACTTATTTTATCTCATATGCTATTAATAAAATATATTAAGCACAGGGTTTAAGGATGCAGGTCAGTCATACAGGTCTTGAGTTCAATTCCCATCACTGCAAAAACCATACAATAAAATGATAATAAGCAGTTGAGTATAAGTACCCTACCTAGGTTACCTTATTTATTTTGATAACACACTCTTTTGAGAATGATATGTACAACTATCCCCATGTTTTTTTTGTTTTGACAGGGTCTTGTGCAGCCCAGTCTCACCTCCAGTTAGTTATGTCACTGAGGCTGACCTTGAATTCCTCATCCTCCTGCCTCCACCTCCTGAGCCCTGGGATAACAAGCCTACACCACCATGCCCATCTTACATATCCACATTATAAGATTATTAGATAAGCAACTCGCTTAAGGTCTGCAGCTCGTTAGCGAGCAAGCATTCCAATCCAAGCATAACCGCTGTAGGATACAACTTCACACGCATTCTTCACCTCCTGATACAGGGGGCTCCCACTAGACGCAGCTCCGTAGTTCCCAGGACCTTCACACCAGATGCCCTGACCACACCAAAGCTTCAGTAGAAGGGCAGGCTCGGGCCACTCACCTGGCCACGCCGAGTCTCACAGTTGTGCAGGTAACTCAGATGGAATACCTTCATGATCAGATTCACGAAATTGAGGTACTTGAGAAGAATCTACAAATTCAAACGGCAGATGAAACAGAGAAATCCTTCCTCGGGCTACTTCTGCCACCGGCAAGTAAATGTCTGACCACCATCAAAACTTGCACAGAGGCAGTTTGCACAGATGAGCCATACGTGGCTCCGTGAACGGAACCTCATCGTGCTTGTTGATTTATCAATGAGAGTGTATTCATAAAAATTTACTGAACTTGGTGTCCCTGGGTTAAGTCAATGTTGTGTGTTACCTGGTCATTACAAGTCACTATGAGGGAGATATTGTGAAATCGCCCCCACTTTACAAAAAAACAAAACAAAACCAGATTCAGAGAAGATAAGTGATTTATACAAATAAAACAAGAAGATTTTGAAAGATCCAGAACAAACACCTCTCATTCCTAACTCCAAAATCCAATGTTTGGATTGTTATGTTCCCTTGCCTCCCGCAGAGATTAGCAGGTGAACCCTGCCCGCTCTGTCTTTTAGTTTCTGAGACAGGGTCTACCTGATCTGTAGCACACAATGCCCTAGAACTCATTATACAACCCAGGCTATGCAATTATAGTGACACCAGACTTGTGACAATACTCCTGACACAGCTTCTCAAATACTGGCATTACAGGCATGGGCTACCATACTTGGCCTGTCCTCTTGCCTTATGCATGGGGAAATAAAAGCCAAGCCATTTGGCATGGTTGGGGGATTCCGTGAGCAGGATGGATGGTCTACCATGGTGTCCTCAGCAGCATCTCAAGCAGTCTTACCTCTTCGTCTCTCTTGGTGAAGTGGGGTTCGTCCACTTTGTTCACAGCCATGATGATGGCTACCACATCCTTCCCATTCATGATGGGGGAAGCCAGGATGCTCTTGGTCTGATACTCGGTGAGGCCGTCCACAAAGTCACAGAAATGCTCATCCTGGAAGAAGGCAGAGGCCAGGACAGGGAGGTAAATGAATATAAGGATGGAAGAGCATCTCGGAGCCCCTGCTGAAGAGGGGGTGAAGGCATTCATCGGTTCCCCTCTGGCAAGGGCAGGATGACCCGAGGAGATCATGGACACCTCCAACATCCATTAAGAGAAGAAGGCCTGAGAGGCAGCCCCCCCCCAAAGGGCCACCGAGGACAAACACTTCCTGGCAGTGAAGCCCAAGGTGGAAACTTAAGCGACAGCTGTGAGGGAGTTAGGGGCATGACCACGATGACCACCAGTGGGCACTGCACATGGCACTCCCTCTCATCCTTTCATCTCCATCCTCCCGACAGCCTAGGGGAGAGGGACCAGCAGCCCTTCTCACAAAGTTAACATGACTTGGGGGCATTGGGAGCCTGTCCTCAGCTCAGCTCTGCTCACATAAGCCCCAGTGAAGTCACTCCGGGGTCCACTCATTGAACCAAAGGCTTCGTTATTTTCAGTCCCCATCCCTTCCCCGTCTCTTCTTTTATTTACTTGGACACAGTCTGACTATACAGTCCGTGCCAACCTTGAACACTCAATCCTCCCGCTTCAGCCTCCCACGAGTGCTGGAATCATAGGCATGTGTTTTCACCTTTTATAACAAGCCGGTTACAGAGTACATGGCCGTTTCAATGGCCATCCCCATCCAACAAATCTCTGTGAAAGCTCTGTTACATGTCAGCCCTTTACCAAGTGGCTAGGACTCAAGCTCCTCACGGGTGAATCACTAACCGTAATTTTGACTGTCATCTTGATTGGGTTGAGAAGTTCCTAGGAGACTAGGGAAGCAAACCTCTGGGCGTGTCTGGGAGGGCCCTTCCAGAGAGGATCACTAAAGATCACTAAAGGCGGCGGCATCATCCCATAGGCTGGCACACCAGCGAGAGAAAGCAGAGGGGTGGGGAAAGCCATCTGGGACATTCTCTTCCTCTGCTCAACAGCCATATGAACTGCCCTGTCCCTTCAACACCTTCCCCATGATGGATTCCTAGCCCCAAACCATGAGCCAAAGCAATCTTTCTTTCCTTCAAGTAAAAACACTATTTATTATTATCGTGGGAGAGGCATGATGTTTATAGTGAGAGACACGCGCCAGTGCTTGTGTGGCGATCAGAAGAGCTCTGTGGAGTAGTTTCTCTTTCTACCTTTGCATGGGTTCTGGGGATCAAACTCGAGTTGCCACTGAACCATCCCGGGGGCCTCCTGTTGTTTCTGTGGGGTATCTGGTCTCGGCAGTACAGAAGAAGGTAATACAGTAACCCAGGCCCTAAGGGCTTAGCTGAAAACTGTAGAGTGCAGAGGTCCACACACCCTGACTCTCAACCCCCACAGGCAGCCTGGCAGGGCTTTAGAGGCATTGATTGACACAGGCTACATGGCCAGGAAGAGGGGACAGAGGCTGGATTGTCTAGAGCCAGGAGAATCCACCTTTCTGTCTCTGTCACCGCGGTAAATTTCCTGACTGCCGCGTCCCACGGGACATGAGCCAGCACAAACATGTACTGTGCATGCTGCTCTGAGAAGGGCAATTCATCCACACAGCCGATCCACGGAACTTCTCTAGAACTTAGGCGGCAGAATTTCCCCTACAGCCCCTATTCCTGGGGTGATGCTCTCTGTAGGTCGGGATTTCTTTCCAGAGGGAGTGAGAATAAACAAACAGGCAACAGCGTCCCGTCAGTGACGTTGGCTCACCCAGGTGAAGGGTAAAGGAATTAGGATGAGCCAGTCACGCTCTACTTGAATTAGCGGTTGAGGATTAGAAAAAACTGGAGGACAGTGGCAGCCCAGGGGGGGGGAGGGGGTTCTGAGTCATCCTCGGAGGGCACGGCTGAGTGCCTGAGCACAGCCCAAGGCCAAGCATGCTCAGATTCACTTCAGCTAGTTCAGCTTCGAAGTTTTTACCTTCTTCCAGAGATGCCAGTACTTGGGCCTCATCTGCCTCCAAGGCAGGTGTCTCTAAATCTACCAGCCCCCTCTTTCCCAGTGTAGTAGGCCCTTTTCTCAATGCTGTGTTCAAATACCTGACAAGGGCCGCTTTAGGGAGAAAGGGCTGATTTTGGCTCCCAGTTTGAGGGGATACAGTCTACCCTGTCCAGGAAGGTGTGTTGACAGGAGCATGAGACAACCAATCACATTGCAGAGAGCAGTGAGGAGCAAAGGATAATATTCTGTTTGCTTTCTCCCTTTTATCCTGTCTGGAACCTCTCCGCCCAGGGAAAAGAGCCCAGGGTTGCTCTTCCCACCTCAATTAATCTGATCAGAACACTCCCTCACTGACAGGCCCAGAGGTCTGTCTCTGAGGTGAGTCAAGATCCAAGTTGACCTTGTTAACCATCATGCACACTGAGTTCTCAGTCAAGGAACTCCACACAAACACCCCAGCCCCCAAACGACTGGAGTCTACCCCAACATCGCCATCCCTGTAGCCATACCATAATAAATACCCCCAATCACATCATAGGACCTCAGTGGACCAGAAGCAAAAGGTTTTGGAGGCATTTCTACTCAAACTATTTATTCTAATGTTTTCTTTCACGGGCGTGTGTGTGTGTGTGTGTGTGTGTGTGTGTGTATGGAGGCTGGGGATTTGAACTCAAGCCTTCAGGCTTGTACGGCAAGCCCTCTCACTGCCTGAGCCATCTCCTCAGCCCCAAACCATTGACTTTAAAGCCCTGGCACAAGAGACGTGGCCAAGGAAGGTCCAGCGTCATCATCCATTCACTCAGGATTGACAGAGCGCTTTCTGTGTGAGGCACTGCTATGAACCCTGGGGCTAGGGCAGAGAACAAGAGACGTGGTCTGTCCCGGGGAAACATCCAGCTAAATAGAGGAGACAAAAAAAATAAGTAAGAAAATGGTTCGGGATTCACCCTGCAGCCTGAGATGTTCTGCTCCGAAGGGAATAAACCAGAAACACCTTAACAGAGAGGGGAGGGACAGCAGACTGAAGCTGCTTGGGTTCAAATTGGAGTCTGGAAGCCTCTTCTGGAGACACAGTCTGGAGACACAACGCTGAGCTTGGCGCCTGAGGCAGAGGGAGCGCACTCATTCCAAGGAGAGGCATAGTGACTCCCAAGTCCAGGAGGTGGGAATGCGGTTGGGAGACTTGAAGAAAAGAAAGATCTGTGCATCGGAAGCATTGAGGGGGAGGGGAAGAAGGGGAGGGATGAGCCTCCGTACGTATTTATTCATTTGTTTATTGTGCAGCAGAGTTTCTACATACCTGCAGCCGGCTTATAACTCACTGCGTAGCCCCACGTAGCCTCAAACTCACCATTTTCCCGTCTTAGCCTCCCGAGTGCTGGGATTTCAGGTATACACCACCACATCTAGATTTAAAGTGCAATGCAATTCTGCTTCTCAATCCCTGTTCCCCACTTCCTCTTTTCAAACGCTCACAGTACTGATTCTGTCGGACGCATGGTGGGATCCGTTACCTACTGAATAATGAGGATGTGCTAGGCTCAGAGCCAGATGACTTACATATATTATCGAATTCACTCACATCAGCCCTGACAAGCAGCCCTGCTGCAGAGCTGTCCCTTCTCATTCACGGACAAGTCCCTTGCTGGTGAGAAGTGCAGCTGATGGACCCATTCACTAGTTGTAGATTTATTAACTGATTAATGGGTTGATTCATCCATTCATTTGTATTTATTGAGCCTTGGCTCTGTGTCAGGCACTGGATAGGTCCAGACCTGTGGGGAAATATCTTTACTGCTAATTAAGATGGGAAGACCTGTCCACTGTGGGTGGTGCTGTTCCCTGGCTAGGATCCTGTACTGTGTAAACAGAGAGCGAGCAGACACCCATGACCCATTTGCTTCGTGACTGTGAATGTGTTGTGACCAGCTGCTTCCAACTCCTGTCTTGACTCCCCTTGAACTGTGAGAGAGCACAAACCTTCTCCTTTAGGGTTTTGTCACAGCCGCAGGAAAAGGAGCTAAGACAACCGGTAACACGAGGTGCTTACAGCGTGATGGCTTATCATGTTAAACACGAGCATCCAGTTCAAACCACAGTGTGAGTCTGCACCTGACAATGGGATGGGCCCCAAAGATGGGGAAGCTTGCCGGTAAATGGCTTCAGTGGCTACTTAGTACGCTGCCTAGGTTTCCCCTGCAGTGACATCAGAGTGATGGCTGAGGTTTTTCTCCTGCCTAGGGGGCCAAGTTCTGAGTCCCCAGAAATATCGGGATTTTCCTAGGGGCCCGTCCTGAAAAGATTCCTCCCAGGGTCCTGGGGAAGATGCTATGGCTGGCATGCGGATATTCTGATGGAAAAGACTCTATGTACACTGTGCACATAAGGAGAGAAGAGAGGCAGGCTACACCTGAGAGGCTCCAGGGGACAGTTCTCTCAGCTCTGACAGTCCTTCCAGGCCCGACAGTCACAGGTTCAGCCTTCAGAAACGGAATTGCTCAGTGCTGAAGAAGGGCTGCCCCTCATTCGTTCACTCAGTGAGTATCCCACTCTACCCCAGGCACTGGACAAGATGCCAGGGACAAGCAGTAAAGCAGAGAGATGGGGGCATGCACCTCATAGGCTGGGAGACCTCAATACCCCACTCTCACCAATAGACGGGTCATCCAGACAATAACTAAACAGAGAAATACTGGAGCTAACAGACATAATAAATCAAACGGACCTAACAGATATTTACAGAACATTTCACCCAAACACAAAAGAACGTGCCTTCTTCTCTGCACCTTATGGGACTTTCTCCAAAATTAACCACATACTGGGTCACAAGGCAAGTCTCAACAGATACAAGAAAATTGAAATAATTCTCTGCACCCTACCTGACCACTACGGATTAATGCTGGATATCAACAACAACGGAAACAGGATGCCAAGTTAAATCTGAATTTCAGGTAGATGGTAATTATTTTTAGTTGCAGCATATCTTAAATATTTCATGGGACATACTTATACTGAAACACTACTCTGTTTATTTAAAATCCACACTTAGCTGATCACCTTCCATTTTACTTGGCAATGCCGATCTCAAGGCTTTTAAGAATAAGAGCAGAGGATGAGCAGGGAGTTGCCAGGGGTGCAGAAGCATGGGAGAGCCCCGGAAAGTTTAGTTTGTAGTTTCACGTTCCAACAAAACAGTGAGTGTCACCATTCCCAGACTTTTTAGGACAATGAAGGCTCAAACTAGAACTTTACAGAGGTTCAGAGACAGCTCAGACCCCAGTCCACACCATCTTCTCCCTGGCCACTCAATTTCTAGTTACTGTTGGTAAGATCATGTCCATCTCAGAGGCTGGAATTGAGTGAGATTTCTCAAGTAGAACAGCAGCAAACGGCATGCAAATATCGAGCACTCGGGACTTCCTGGTCTTCACTGAACTCACCTGCAGGCCCGAGTCACTCACAGCCTGGGACACGGCCTCAGATTGAAAGGCTTCTGAGGAAGGACGGGTGTGGCTGCGAGGGTGATATTTCAGAGAAGAACAGAAAATAACAGCTCAGCCCTGAGGCTCATCACACAGTTAGGCCTGGATCTTCTGGAATCAGAGGACCTTCTCAGATCCTCAACTCTACAACAGCAAGGCCTACAAAGGGCTTGGCACTTCCAGGGACTAAAAGAATCATGGAAAACTCCAGAAAGGCAAGGTTAGAATCTTCCAGAGCCCACACAGATGTGGTATGGATCTGTGACTTAGATCTTTACTAACAGTAATGGAATTAAAATAAGGAACAGGAACTGCCCATGTATGCCTGGTGCCAGGAGCCTGGGGAAATAGCTCAATGGGTAAAAATACTTATCCTACAAGTCTGGGTCCAGAATTCAGAGCCCCAGAATCCATGTAAAAACTGGGTAGGTGTGACAGCCTACCTGTAATCCCAGCATGTTGGAGGCAGAGACAGGGTACTACCAACGGTATATAAATTAAAAACTGAGCCTGAACTGGCTAAATGGTTTGCTAAGGCTGTGTTCTTAGGAAGTGGCAAGATTAGCATTCTGCTCTGACCTCAAGGCATAAGGTCATAGCTCTTGAAATATGATTGGAAATGATCTTTCTTGAATAACACTCCATTCCATGACCTTACTTCACAGATAAGGAGAAGTATGGGGCAGCAGAGGGTTAAGAGCATGGGTTCAAGGCCAGAGGACCCAAGTTTAAATTCCACCTGTACTTTACACCTGTGTGACCATGAGCAAGAGTTTCCATGCTATAAGCACAAGATAGTGAGAGCTATTACACAAGATTGTGTCTTCACAGTCTCTGATAGAATGTACTAAAGTTTTGGGGGAAGTGAAAAGAGACAAATTGCATCCAGCCAAGACTCCTCCCCAAAGCCCTAGTCCTTGATGCAAAGTGGGCACGCAGGGAGACATTAACCCCACGGCAGTCTGCCTAGTGTTTCCTACAGAGCTGGTCTCTGTAGCCCAGGCTGGCCTGAGACATGACTCTGTAGCTCATGCTACCTTAGAACTCTCAGTGATTCTCGAAACTGCTGGATTTTTAGGAAAACGCACAGGTAATCACTGTTTGATGACCCCTTTGGATTCTTGTACTAGATTGGGCTTAATGCTTTGGTGATCTTGGGCAAGCCCCCTCTCAAGACCTCTGGATCCAGTTGGATGAGGCGTGTGTGTGTGTGTGTGTGTGTGTGTGTGTGTGTGTGTGTGTGTGTGTGTGTGTTACACTTATGTGTACTTGCATGTGAAGAGCAAAGGTCCTTTTTGGGTACCATTCCTTAGATTGCTGTCCACCTTGTTTTTTGAACCTAGAGTTCATTGATTTAACTAGGTTAGCTACCCATCAAACCCAGATTCTGCCCATCTTTATCTCCCCTGCTCTGGGATTATAGGTATATGCCAGAGTGGTTGGCTATTTTTACTTATTTTTTTTTAATGTGGGTTCTAGTGGTTGAACTTTGGTTCTCTCTCATGTTTACCCAGCAAGCACCTTGCTGACTGGGTTACTTTCCAGCCCCTCCTCTTCCCTTTTTAACCTTAAGACTATTTATCTGGAATAAATACAGAAGCAAGGTGAAGACAAAGTCACAAAATGTCCAGGAGGCCCTGCATACGGCACATGGAGGCAAGAGTATCTCTGTGAGTTCAAGGCCGTCTTGGTCTACGAATCGAGTTCCAGGCCAGCCAGGACTACACAGTAAGACCCTGCCTCAAAACAACCAAACAAATAAAAATGACACAGAATGTCCTGGGGCTGGACCTTGGAAATGGGTAAACTTGGTATCTTAGCATGGCTGCTGTACTTGTAAATGAGGCCCATGGCATCTAGGGACTGGCTTCCTGTGGAGAGAATGGGAAATTCCTGCAAAGTTCCTATTCTTTAGACTCTGTTTATTAACCACTTGCTTTATGCCTGACATTGTGCAGGGTCTCAGGATAAATACCTAGCAAATAAGGTCCCTGATGCTAGAGCTCACCTTGACTTCACTTCAGGAAGGGGACAACGATGGCAGAGGGTGTTCCCAAGGAAGTGACTGTCGAGCTGAGATCTGAAGGGTGAGTTGACTTGGGCAGGAAACTAAGTGGAACTACTTTAGAGCCATCAAAGTTAATATCCAGCAGGGAAATTCATCTACTCACGGGGATCTTTGTCAGAACTGCCGGTAAAATTCCATGAGCCACAAGGTTTGGTTGACTTGCTATGGTTTGGGTTTTTGAGGCAGTCTCTCGGCAGCCCAGGTAGACCAGTGACTGGACCTTGTAGCTCATGCTGGCTTAGAACTCTCAGTGACCCTCTAGCCTTCTGGATTTTAAGAAGGATTGGGTAATCACTGTTAGCATTTTCAGTAACGGGATAACCAGCTCCCGTGTCTCCTGATATAAAATATGAAGAAAAACAGTATTATCTTAGTGATGCTTCGGTGAGAATGTGAAACCCAATCTAATTGTGAAGTCATATCAGACAATCAGGCGTAGTGGCTCGTGTCTATAATCACGTCACTTGGGGAGCTGGGACAAGAGGATGGCCAAGAGTTTGAGGCCATCCTGGGCTACACAGGGACTTCTAGGCCAGCCTAAGCTACACAGGGACTTCTAGGCCAGCCTGGGATGCCACATGAGTCAGCCAAGTCTGTCTGTCTGTCTCCCCTTCTCCTCCCCCAGAGTATAGTAAACTTAATCAAACAAACACCCTAACAAATCCATTACGGTGGTGGGAATTAGATAAGCCAAAACGGAAGGACATTTCTGTAAAATATTTGTGGGTTTGTCTGAGTTGACAAAAATATATTTCTTTAAAAACACCAGCTTTCCAGAAAACAAAGACAGACTGAGGAGCGGTCTCAGATGGGAGTAGATTAAAGAGACAGGGCTGCATTAGCGTATGTGAGACACCTGGAAAACACGGCATATGAACTATTAGATGGTTGTGCTATGTGGGTGTTGTGTTCCCCAAATTCCACCATTGTACTGTGGATAAGGAAGAAATGTCCTGTTCTAAAATACAGAATGAAGGCTGTATGGACCAAAGGGCATGCCTGAAACTTCCTTCTCGTAGGTCACAGAAGTAGAGAGAGATGCAGATGTGACCAGATGTTAATAATTGGTGACTATGAGTGAAAGGTACAGTCCTTTGTAGTATTTCAAACTTCTGCTAGTTTCGAATATTCTTTTTTTTTTCTAAATAAAAAGTTCTAAGTATTGTCAATAAATAGAGAGTAGTGTCATACCATGACTAACCCAGGCTTGGTGGCCAGCAACAACCCACCCAGCCCACGTGGACCCCTGAACCCCAGGGATCAGTGCATCCCCACAGTCTCTCTTACAGGGAGAGCATACCTCTTCTGTGTTGGGGACATTGGCAATCTTTTTGGAGTGGGCGACATGGCCCACGACACCCATGTCCAGAGGGAAGACGATCTCGGAGTCAGGCATTACCAAGCAGTCCTCCAGGACAGCATCCTTGTGGACGTTGAAGAGCCTGGTGGCTAGCTCTGCAATGCCATTGCGGGTCCTGTACATGAACAGGCTCATGCGGTCAGCCCGCAGGAGGAAGCAGAGCTTCTTCATGACATTGAACGTGCATTTCTCAGCCTGCAAATTCTCCTGAAAGTCCCGCAGCAGGTCAAAGATGATTTCGCTCTCCTCCACGCTATTCACAGTGTGGTAGTGGCTGAAGTCCACAGCTGCCTCCTTGGCCCCAAGGAGGTCTGAGATGACTCTCCCCCGGTAGTGAAAATTATAGTATTGTTTGGCAAAGCCAATGTTTGAGTCCAGGAACTTCTCTACCTCCTCGGCTGTCACCTCACCCATGGCTGGGACTTCCTCCAGCTGCTCCCAAGGATGGGTTCAAGCTCAGGCCTTCCCAGGGCCGTTTCCCAGCAAATGGAATTCAATGTGCCCTGCGTCAATCTGGACTTCTCTGGATCTTGTCTGTAAATCTCCCTGAGAAGGCCACACAGAGGCAGGAGCAAGCTGAGGGATTAAGTCATTAATACTTCTTGAGAATAAGAATTATGAGGATCAGCATGTTCCAGATGCCACTGGGCCCTGGGAGAGAGAACAAGAGTGGTGACTCTTTACACCCTGGCTTGATAAGAGCTCAGAGAAGACATTCAATTGCACAGCACTCGTGTGGAGGATGCCACAGGCAGCTCACCTGTAAATGTGTCCTCTCTGCCCTCAGGGCTTTGTTTGTCTGTGACATCAATGCCTGACAATTACTATTTAGGATGATTTGGCTTCTTGGTCAATCACAAGAGCCAACAATTGTATCTACAGACCTCCATGCAGGAAGGGCTAGAACTTTGATACAGCCGCTGCAAGCCTCCCCACCCATCCTTTAAACCCAAACCTTCCACTCTTTTGGGCTGTGACAAAATGCCCTAACAAAGAGCAACTTAGGGGGAAAAGGATGTATTTAAGTTCACAGTTTCAGGTTACAGTCCATCACTTGTGGTGGGGGGGGGCGGTTGTCATAGCAGCAGGAGCTTGAGACAGCTGGTCACATCACATCCACAATCAAGAGCAGAGAGAGAATAAATGCATGCATGACCACTTGCTCGCTTGTGCTCGGCTTGGCTTACCCATTCTTCTACAGTTCAGAACCCCTGCCTAGGGAATAGTGTTGCCCGAAGTAGGCTGTCTTCTACATCAATTATCTTAATTAAGACAACCCTCAAAAGACAGACCCACGGGCCAATCCAGTGTAGACAATCCCTCACTGAGACAGTCTTTCCAGGTGGTTCTATGCTGTGTACATTTGACAGTTAAAGCTAACCACCCCATAGTCACTCCCTCTTTCCATAACCCTCCCAAGTGTGGGGCTTCGGTTGCCATGGTTGTTACCAGGCTGCTTGCATCATGTACACGGGTATATTGTGGTCTAACCACCTCTTGGCCCCGATTTCATAATTTCTGCACACAAGGCTTTCTTGGGTTTGGATTCCAATGATGTTCTAATTTTAGTATTTTAAGGGCACTTGTAAAAAAGAAATAACACGCCTTCCATAATATTTTCATTATAAAAATAATACATGCTCTCTGCAGAAAATAATGCAAAAGGACAGTCAAAAGCACACGTGATTCTACTGCTCAGAGGTAACCTCTGGTTGACATCTGGTCCTTCCAGAGAGGCTGACCTTTATAATCTAGTCCTTTCAACTTGATCTTTCTCCTGGTGCCTTGATGTGCTTTTTCTGACTCTAGCCTGGGTTTCCTTGGGTTGTTAATCAGAAATACATGGCACAGTCTGTGGACTATCAACTCCAGAGAATCTAGAAACACCAGAATTCTCCTTGTTGTGCCTCCTCTGCACAAAAGGACATGGGAAAGAGCCCTCTCTTTGTGGACGAACCTTATTTTAGGTTCCACGGCAGCCCTAGGCTGTGAACAGCAGTGCCTTGTAAATATCGTGGAATGCGCGGTTACGAACAGTTCCTGGCCCTTTGACCTTTGTAAGGGGACTTTACTGCAAACTGGATTACTTCCTTCGTTGTAAAGTGTAATAAATTCTCGGGGGCATTGCACCCATTTAGTACTATGTACAAAGGTACCCCTCTCCACCCAATGGTAAGCCGTGACATCTGCACAGGCTAGCTTGGCAAAATTCTCAGTTCAGCACGTTTGTGGTTTTATCTCTGTCACCATGTGTGACGGCAGTTCATTCATTCTTACTGCTCTTCAGCATTTTCCTAATGAGATAAACCAGTCACAATGTGTATGTGTGTGTGTATGTATGTATATGTATATATAAAATATAAATATATTTAATAATTATAATATTATATAATTTTATTATATATTATATTATCATATGTATTATATTATTTATTTATATATTATATATTTATTATATATGATATATAAATATATTTAATAATTATAATATTTTAATAATTATAAAATATAAATATATTTAAAGGGGAAGAAGACAAGGCTGTCCTTACTGACAGTCCACGTGACCATCTGAACTTCTCTAAAGCAGACGCCATAATCCACCTGAGCAGCCTGCTCACTCTTGCCCAGTTCTCCATAATCTGCAGACTATAAAGTTTTAGTATCCCTCATCAGCTCTTGTTATCTTAGCCCAAGGAAGCACCACACCACCGTCTTCCGGTCCCTGCCTGTCATCCCACACTATTTCCTTCATTGTGTTTATCCCTTCCAGACATTCTCTTGGCTTTTCTCACTTGTCCTCCTCCCTGCCTCCCCCCACTGGACTGGGAGCTTCATGAGAGCAGGGACCTATCAGGATATGCTCCTTAGGGCTTCTTCCAGGGCTGTCTGGCACATCTTTGGTGTTCAGCATTTTTTGTTTTTAATTTATAAGTTTTACATGTTCTTGACTACTGAACTTTATAAAATATAGGAAGACAAAAAAGAAAATAAAAATGAAATTTTTTTTGTATACTTAAAGCTTTTTTAGAATGCTTTTGTACACCAGACTGTAACATGCTCTTTCCTTCTCTGCCAGATGTCATGGATGTCTTTCAAAGGTACTTCTCTTTCACTCTAGTGACCACAGAGCATTCCTCTGTGGCACCATCTTCCATAGCAAGGACTCCTCACCTTGGCCCCGGTGACATTTTGAGTAAAGTAATTCTTCACTGTAGGAGGTTGTCCTATATACCGAAGATACTTATCCCAGTTTCCACCCACTGAATGCCAGAGAAGTCCCCTGTAATTGTGACAATTAAGAATAATGTGGACATTTCCCCATGGGCCCCTGAAAGGTAAAGGAGTCTCCATAGTTAAATATTTTGGCTTTTTTTTAAAAAAAATATTTATTTTAATTTTTGTTGATTGTGTGTGTCTGAATGTATGTCTGTGCATGTGTGTGCTGGTGCCCACAGAAGCCAGAAAAGGGTGTTGGATCCAATGGAGTCGGATCATGGTCAGTTGTGAACACCTGATATGGGTGCTGAGAATCGAACTCTGGTCCTCAACAAGAGCAGCAAGCACTCTTAACTACCAAGTCATTTCTCCAGCCACTAGAGTTCAGTGTCTGACTTTTCTAGTATTACAAATGTTGCAGTCAATATTGTTATATTTTTAGTAATAATACCTGCAAGTAAAATCCTAGTCCCAAGAGCTTTTTGATATCTAAGGACTTGAATAAATAATGACTTTTTTCCTAAGGCTATAGACTGGTAAGAGGCTTTTCCATCCTCTACACCAGCCTGTTGCCTATTTACCCGATATAAATAATTCTACAGAATCTAGCCCTAGTACTCATTCTAAAATCTTTTATTATATCTATTAATTTTGTGGGACAGTGGGTGTGAGCATGCCATGGTACATGTGTGGAGGTCAGAGGATAGTTTGCAGGAGTCAGCTCTCTCCCTCCACCATGTGGGTCCTGGGGATTGAAATCGGGTCATCCGTCTTGACTGTAAGCGCCTTGACCTGCTGAGCCATCTTGCTGGCCCTTGGTAGCCTTTCTTCCTTTGCTCTCCACAATTTCCATGCCCATATTCTAAGATCCACTCTAGTGGTTTTCATCCATGTGGGGCTTTGCATTTTATTCTTGCTGCTCCCTGCCAAACCTGCCCCTTCTACTCAGCCCAAGTGCCGCTGCCTCCATGATTGCGCTTTGATGCCCCAATACACTACTTTCTTGGTTAGAACCCCCAAACACAATGATTTCTTTGTGTCTTGTCTGCAGATCTGCACTTTCATAAAGTTCAGTTCCCTGAGCACAGGAATAAAATTCTACTCAACAATCTGGCGATTATTTTATTTTTTGAAATGATCTTGGTGTCTTGCCCAGGTTGGTCTCTTAACTCCTGAGCTCAAGTGACCATCCTTAGCTTCCTGAGTACCTGGAACTACAGCTGTGTGTTTTGACTTCAGACTAGGTCTAAAACAGTGTCCCAAAGAGGTCATCCCAGGAACTTAGTTCTGATTATGAATATCAGCCTTGTTTCATAGGATGATACACTTTTACAGCCTTTTTCAATGTGCCGGAATGAGGAAGGCAGGACTATTGTAGAGCGTGGTCTTCAGTGGTAGCGGGAGGTGGTCGATACTTTAGGAGGTAGGGTCTTATAGGACATGCTTAGGTCATTGGGGCCTCTACCCTGCTGAAAAGATAGTGTTGCTGCTAGAAGGGTCCATTTCTGGGGCTAGTCAGCTGCTCTGAAGATGGGTGGTTACAAGCAAGACACTCAAGTCCTCTTCACACCACTCACCAACCACTCCCTCCAGTTTTCCATGAGACACTGCCTAACGTGAGCCAAGCAAATGCCAACATAGTGTTTTAGCTCTCCAGGAATGTGATCTTAATAAACTTGTGTGTGTGGTGTGTGTGTGTACGATATGTGCATGTGTGTGCACGGGTGCATATGTCCATGCCTGCACCCATGCAGGCCAGAAGTTAATGTTGGCTCTCTATCACTTTCCACTTTACTGTTTGTTTGTTTGTTTGTTTGTTTGTTTGTTTGTTTGTTTGAGATAGAGTCTCACTATGTAGCTCTGGTTGGCCTGGGACTTGCTTTCTAGACCCAGGCTGGCCTTGAACTTACAGAGACCCTGCCTCTGCCTCTGAGTACTGGGGTTAAAGGCATGACACCATATAAAAGACTTGTTTATTTATTTAATGTGTATTTTTTTTTATGTACCTAAACTTATGAATGTGTACTGTGTGTACAGGTGCCTGCAGAGACCAAAAGAAGGCAGAAGATTCCATGGAGCCTGAGTCACAGCAGTTGTGAGCTGTGTGGTGTGGGTGCTTGGAACTGTCCCCAGATCTTCTGTGAGAGCAGCAAATGTTCTTAACCACTAAGCTATCTCTCCAGACCCTCCACCTTCTTTTTTGGGCCAGGGTCTCTCGCTGAACCCGGAGCTCGCTGATTGGCTAGACTGGACGGCCGCTGAGCCTCTGAGATGCTCCTGTTCCTGCCTCTCTTCTCAGACCGCCCCGCCCCCAGTGCTGGAGTTACAAGCAATGTGCTCATTTTCTTGGTTTTGTTTGGTTTTGAATGTGAGAGCTGAGGATCTGAACTCAGGGCAAGTACCTGTCCGATGAGCCATCTCCCAGCTCTAAACTTCTTCTCTTAACAAATTAGCCAAATAATCCAGGTGGTGGTGGTACTCACCTCT